TCAAAAAGTTGTGCTATATATTGTGTCCATCTCTGCATTTTTTGGTTTATATCCTGTTATAAGTGCTTTTCATCCTTTTATCTCTTAGTTGCATAGTTTGAAGTGTTTTTCTCATTCCTGTTAATTTTCTAATTCTTTTATGCATGTTAAAAAGTCATATTTTTTCTCAATTTCTTCTAGTTCTTGGCACTGCTCATGTAACATTCTCTCCTTAGCTACTTTTATTCTCTTTTTTATTAATCGATCAGTTTCATTATATTTAATTGGATTTTTTGTTTTGAATGATTTTCTTTCATTCATTAATAGTAGCATTTCTTCAGTCATCCAATCTTTATGTTTTCTATTCTTTGGTTTTAAGTTTTCATTTGCTGTTTTAATTATTGCTACTTTTATATTTTCCCATTTCTGATCAATGTTATAGCTACTCTTATTCAGTTCTTGGGCATTACGTAGATTTTCAGTAAGAGTTTTTACAGTTTGTTCCTTTGTTTGTGGTTCCCTTAATCTCTTAATATTAATTCTACTTTGTGTGGTTTTTTTAACCAGTTTTAATTTGGTTCGTAATGTGACTACTATGGGGTTATGGTCTGAACCGATGTCTGCTCCAGGGTAAGTTTTGGCAGACAGTATAGAATTACGAAATCTTTGTCTAATAAGGACAAAGTCAATTTGATTTCGGATTATTCTATTTGTTGTATCACCGGGAGATCTCCATGTATACAATCTTCTTTTTGGTAGCTTAAAAAGTGTATTAGCTATTACAAATTCTTCCGTCTGGCAAAATTGTATCAAACGGTCACCACGTTCATTTCGATTTCCTAGACCATATTCCCCCACATATTCATCCACTCTTCCCTGGCCAACTTTGACATTGAAGTCGCCCATTACTATTGTAGTGTGATGTTTCTTCATTGATTTTAAGACTTGTTCCAAATCATGGTAAAACAGTTCGATATCGTCGTCATCTTTATCTGCCGTAGGAGCATAAACTTGAATAAAATTTACTATACCTTTTTTAGACTGTAGTTGTATTGATAAGATCCTATCAGAATAAGGAGTAAAACTTACCACAGAGTAATTGACCTTTTTTGCAACTAAGATAGCAACACCATAGCGATGATTGACCTCGTTGTTACCTGAATAATACATGGTTATATTATTTGTAATTTGTTTGCCTGAACCTGGCCACTGTACGTCACTTATACCTAAAACATCAATTTGGAGGTTTTCCATTTCAAGCAGTACGTTCGCTAATTTACCACTTGCATATAAACTTCTGACATTCCGGGTTGCTATTTTCAATGTCTTAAGTCCACAGGGATTTCTCTGGTTTACGACCTGGGAGATACTGTGATCTACATTTATTCCTCCCCTGTCGGATCTTGGATTCCGTGCTCCATAATCAGTAAGTTTGTTTACTCTACTTGTCATTTGCCATTCATGACTTTACTAGGTGTACTCTAAGAGTCTTTAATGCAGTGGTTCCCCGTTGCCTTCTGTATCCTTACGCCGTTGACATATTTTTCGTTTCATCCGCCTTTAGAACCAGTTTCCCAACCCAGTTTAATTCTCTAATTTCGCGTTTTATTTTAATTTCAATGTTAGCTAGCATCGTAGTTTTGTTAAGGTTTATTGTATGTCCTGTGTTTGAGATATGTTGGGTAAGGGACGACGTTTTTTCTCTCCTTTCGATGACCGAAACACGAACAGGACCAATCACAAGAAGCCTTGCGGCTATAAAAAGTAAACGCATCGCCCAGTAGAGTCAATTAACTTCAAGTACCAGCAAGAAGCGCTACTACCTGATTTGACAATGTCAAGTGCGACCTTGCCGAAACGTCGTCAAAATAATAGTTTTTATTAAAACTAAAACTATTCAACGCGGATTCAAACCCGGAAAACCACATAAAGCACATATAGCTCCTATAGAAATTTGAAGTGTAACATAATTAACCTCTACGGGGAGGAAATTCTACGAGATATCAGAAAAACTATGATCAAAGCGAGGTAAGTTGTTATCCAACCTTACGTTTTTAGAACGCTGCCATGACGAAAATATTATACCGACTTGTATGAAGCTTAGTTTTCACAAAAACAACTACAAAACCAAAAACATTTTAAGAAAGGCAAGCCTAGCGCTTATTAGAGAAGCAATCCATGATACCTATGATTTTTTTTTTGATAAACTTACAAACTTTCGAGCAGAAACAGACTCTGACCTTACTAAGAAAAAAACAAATCAAAAAGTTTCAAAATTTGTTACTAAAACTGTAGCCAAAGAAGAAATAAATACCAGAAACAGAAACATTCAAGTTAGTTTATAACTTTTTAAATCTGACATTGGATCAAGCCACGAATAGTGTTCTCTCAAAAGGTACTATTACTAATCTGCCAGCAGAAACAGCCGAGATCATACGCCAAGATGTATCAAAAATATTGAGAACCGCTAAACCACCAAAAAGAAATTTGACTCACGAAGAAAAAGACACCCTAAATAATTTGAAGAACAACAAAGAAATCATTGTGGTCCCAGCTGATAAAGAAAATGCCACGGTAGTAATGAATATTCAAGACTACGAAGCAAAAATAAACGACATCCTAAACGAACAGAATCTCGTCGGACCCCACAACATACCTAGAAAAACTACCAAAAGCCAAGATCAAAGCCTAAGACATCAAGAAAGATAATCAGTTACATCTTATACCTAGGGAGAAGTTGTCACGATGTTCAAAACTTTACGGCCTACCCCAGGTACATAAGGCACGATTACCTACCATCGAAATTCATCGAACGTATAAAAGATGTGACTCTTGAGCCGGGACATTTGTTAGTCAGCTTCGATGTGGTTTCACTTTTTACGATTGTTCCTATAGATGAATCATTAGAAATTATAAGCAAAAAATATCTAATACCACAAACTATTCTAAATATAACAAACAATCCTACAAAAATAAAGTTTAAAAAAATATATCTATGTACACACAGTAATTTAATAATAAAAAGCACTTTTTAAATTTATAAGCAATTAAAAATGAATAAAAATATTCGGAAAGCTGCTTAAAAAAGCCAAGAAAAAAATAAGGTCTTAGGACCCTTAGGCACCAAGATAGCCCTTTTTTAAATCACTGTTACGTTAATTGAAATGATTAAGGCTGAAATTAATTCTACTTTTATAAGAAAGGTCAAGATTTTAACAAAACTTTTAGCACACAAAATAATTGAAAATTGTTTCAACAGGAGTGTTGTAAACAAAGAGACTTTTACTATTTTTGTTAGGAATAAGCCACAATTGTGGATTGGATTTTGGAAATTCTACTTATACGAAAAACTGGCACATTGTCAAAATTCTATTAAATTTTTACGAATATGGTATTTTAAGAACGATTACCGAAGTGGAAAGAGAAACCTCAAATAAACTTAATTTTAAAGTAAAATTGTGGCTTATTTCCAACAAAAATTGTATCCACAATAAAATAGCTTCAGCACAATATAAAGTACTTTGCGTTCCGAGTAGAGTAAAAGAATTAACAAGAACCACTGAAGGGCCAGCCGCGCTCTCCAAAAACTTGAGCACAGGTTTCAACATAGAACGCTAGGTATAAAATGACGTATCTCAGGCTCTACTGGACCAAACTTGCTCTTTTTTTCAAACTGGGATACAACGTTGAAGTAATTACTATTATCGTAGTTTTCATTGCAAAATGATCCAAAACAAAGCGCTACTGACTACGGAATGTACAATTCTTTTCTTAAGTAGCCTTTTTATTGTTATTTTTATATTTATTTATTTACAATATAATTATATTAAATAATTGTCATTTGTAAACATTATTAAATTTTTATTTTTTAAAACAATTTTTTGATATTTTCTTATTAAATTTGAACAAACAAATTATCATTTTAACGTTGTACCCCAGTTAAGAGCAAATTTAGTCCAGTAGAACCCAACATGTCATTTTTTCCGAGCTCTTCATTTTGAAATCGTGATATTAAAACGTAACAGTGATTAAAAAAGGGGCTATCTTGGCCCTAAGGGTCGTAAAACCTTTTTTAAGTTGGTGTTTTTTAACTAGCTTTCCGAATATTTTATTGTTATTTAGTTTGAACTAAATTCTACGGAGTTATTGTAAATGTTTGTAAGCTTAAATAGTGTAATTTATTATTAAATCATGTGTACATAAATGTATCTTTTTTCTCTTTTTCTATATTTTATTTGTACAGGTCTTAAAGCAGAAAATAAGCCCTGAATAATTGAAATCCATTTTGTCAAATTATCTGGACCAGCCTTAGCTCATTTTTTTTTAATATTATAAACAAATTAAATTTCGCAAAAACTATTCAACCGATCTGGCCCATTTTTTCCACACAATTCAAACATGACAAGTCCTTTAATTTCAGGTACATTTATACAAATTTTAATAAATAATAAAAAAGTTATTAACAATATTCAAAAACAGCGATGTTGTTGTTCATTTTGCAAACTATTTCGTTTATTCTCCGATTTTAATTTAGCATATCTCTTTTTGTCTATCTTTTTTTCTGAAAAAGTTGTCCGTTAACGTCAAATCTCTAAATTGACAAATTTTTAACTTATGTGTAAAATAATGAGTTTGGCCTTTTGATTGTTTATTTAAAAATATTTCCACTAAAAAATTGATGAATCGCTAGATTGGAGTCTTTTATATCTCATACTACACATTCCAACTGGCAAACCCGTCTATACACTTGTGACGAAAAAACTGACATTTTTTATTAACTTGACTGATCTATTTTAAATTTCTGGCGCTCATTGCATCTTCGACATCTCTCCAGGACCTTCTTGTTCTACCTCATTTACGTGAAAATATGTGTTTAAATGATATGTAATATTTTACTACTGGTGATAAAAATAATTATTAAGAACTTTATCAATAAAAAGCTCATTAATAAAAAAAACACATGTATCGACCCATATAATTTTTTAAGAGGACCTTTCATTAGTTTTTTTTTTATTTTGCAGGATATGACACTCCAGAGAAAGTAATATTAGCCTATAATGGACTGGGTGCGTGGGGCCAGAAATCAGGGTCGGCGTCATTTCACGGTTGTCCTGTTAACAGGTGTACTTTGACTGATGATAGGAGCAAAGCTGCTGACGTAGACGCCATTTTGTACAAAGACCATTTTATACATCCTGGTGTTGCACGACCTATGAAACAGGTAAGCGGTCAAATACTGTTTATTTATTACTTTGAGATATATTAAAATGTGAATTTAATACGACCGTATTGGTTAAAATTGTTCCTTATCATATATTGTTTGTTTCTGGTATCAATGCTTCGCTGTTTAGTAAGTTTAATGTTTTTGCTGGGAATGGATCGAAAAATGGGAATATACATTTTCATGATAACACTATATGATTATAAACCTGCTGTAGTAATTCCTTCATCTATTTCAATTGTTCACGAATAATTAGTAGTACAGAACAAGCTGGAAGATTGTAACCATTCTTGTTAAATTTATACCGATGGCTTAAAATCGCCTGCTGGTGTTGGCTGTGCCATTTACATAGACAATATTTAAGATTATTTTCAGTACAAATTAAAATCAGATTGCTAAATATTCACAGCTCAACTGGTAGCCATTGTCAAGCGTTCTATTGGATAATTAAGGGCACATTATATTTCGAACGATATATAATTTTATCTGACTCACAGTCCGTCCTCCTCGCATTAATACACTTCTCTAAATACATGTATACCAACAGACTAAGTGTAGATGCGCTTGAAAAGATAAGTATCCTAACGGCTCTAAAAAGAATTGTTAACTTTGTGTGGGTTAAAGGTTACTCTAAAATTCCAGGCAATGAAAAAGTAGACCATTTGGCTAAAGACGCTACTTTAGTGGGTATAGAATACAACGAATTGTCCAAATTTGATTTAGTTTCAGCTAGGAAGAAACATGTTAGACTTAATTGGGAAATTGAGTGGCAATATTTTACTATACTGCAGTATATATCCAATTCTTCCATCTACTCCCCCAAATGACAGAAACTCCATTTATTGTATACGGAAAATTTATACTATGTACGTTAGATGCCCTTTTGGACATGCTACAGTAAACGCCTACCTCTATAAAATAAAACTTTACGAAACTGATATATGTGAATGTAATGGCAGTTCTCTCTCTTCAATCCTGACCCCCCAGGGGGACTGTAGTGGTCGACGTGATGTCGTGTATTGTCCGTCTCCAGAGATCTCTGTCTCTGGTCATTTCTTTTAATTCATGCATAGGTCTTTGGCATATTCCTGTAATTTGATCTCTCCATTTTGTTGGGGATCTTCCTTGTGATCTTCGGCCTTCTACCTTTCCTTGTATTATGAGTCTTTCCATGTTTTCTGTGTTTGCTCTCATAACATGCCCAAAATATTTTAATTGTTGGAGATGGACTTTACTAGAGAGTCGTTGGATAACTTTTAGCTCTCTTAAAATTGAATTATTTGTTCTGCGGTCGGTCCAAGGAATTCGTAACATTCGTCTCCAACAGAACATTTCAGTGGCGTCTATCTTTTTTCTCTCCGATTGTCTCAGAGTCCAAGATTCACTTCCGTAGATCAGTATTGGGAATATTAAGCAGTTGATCAACTTCATCTTTATCGCTCTTGAAATTTGACATTCCTTCCATATTTTGGTCATTTTTGCTGTGGCAACTTTTGCTAGATCACATCTACGTTTAATCTCTTCTTGTAATGACCCTGTGTTTGTGATAATTGATCCCAGATATAAGTATGAGCTCACAACCTCGAACCGGTCAATTGTGGTTATGTGTGGATGATTGTTGTGTAGTCTATCCACTATCATGATCTTTGTCTTTAATATGTTTAATTGCAGACCAAATATTTGACTTTCGTTTTCGATCAGTCGTATAAGTTTCATCAGCTCTGCTTGACTATTTGCAAAAAGGGCTGTGACATCTGCGAAACGTAGGTTGTTTAGTTTATGACCATTTATTGAGATGCCCTTTTCCCGTCCTTCAAGTGCTCTTCGCATAATATACTCTCCATATATGTTGAATAATTGTGGAGATAGTATACATCCTTGTCTGACACCCCGTTCTGAATGAAACTCGTTCGAAAGTGTTTCAAAAATGGCAGTTATGACGACCTTAACTACTGGATGTTTCAAAGTCGGTATAATCAAGAAGCCATAAAATTTTGATTTCAAGCCATCTCCCAACAAAAAATAATACTGTCGCAGAACGTTGCTTCTATTCTTTATTTAGGTAGTCGAAATCCAGCTGTTAGATCGATTTTATGGGAATTTTTCAAACGTACCAAACGGAAAATCGAAACTGCCTTTTGCAGTGTTGTGTGAATTCCAAATGGTAGGACGTTAGTTGTAGTATTTCCCATTGTCTTTCTTTTTATGTTATTTACCTTTAACTGTTGCCTGTATTGTTTGTGTAAAAAAAGTCGCTATGAAGGGCACCTTAGCGTGAAGTGTGTGTTCCTGTTCAACCCTTTTTGTATAGTTACCCAATAGTGTTTTCAATGGGAAGGTTAGGAAACTGAGTAAATGAACGAACGGTTAGGAAATTGTCAGAAATGAATTTAAATGAAGTGTAGGAGTTAATTGTTTTTACGTATTCAACTAATTGACTGGCTAAATAGGTTTTGAAACTAAGGCAAAAAAAATTCATGATAAACGCTCTTTGCTTAATAAATAATACGCTCCCTAGATAATATACTAAGTTAATAGAATTGCTCTATGTTTGTCCCGTTAAAAATTAAAGCATTTAGTACCATGTTAAATTTTATTTGTTTATTTCATCGACTTCGGACGAGACACTATTAGACCAGAAAAATTAGCAAATGAAAAGCCTTTTTAATGACACAATTTGATACAGGTATCTAATAACTGCTTTTCATAAATTTGGTGATAATAATGTAATAAATAAAATATGCAAATGATTAAACGTAATTTATTACTTATAAACAATATATAAACAATGTAACATTGCTATTTGATTTTAAATACTGAAGGAGAAGACCGGAAAATTATATGGAAAAGTGACACAATTTTACTGACAAAGCATAGAAAATACTTATTATTTTGGTTAATTTGTTGCTTAATTATTGCAAAAATAGTTACAAATGTCGATTTTTTGGAAATTCTTAAAAACCCTTTTAAAAATACAAAAAATCTTTAATTTTGCTTAATAATAGCGACAATATCACATATATTCAGCTATATAAATTTCAAGAAGTATCACTTAGTACATGCAAAAATGAAATTGTTTAATCCAGAAAACTTTTATTAACGTTATTATACGTAAACTATTAGGTCTACATAAATTCTAAAAGCACCAAACTGAAGAGAAAAACTTATTTAATCAAATTAAATCAATAGATGATTAAATAGTTTATGTTAAATGTTGTGAAATGTTTAAAAAAGTACTCTGATTTTAAGCTTATAAACATTTAAAATAAATTAGAAACATCAATATATTTATGAAGTTCATTTTTTTTTATTCAAAATGTCGGCATTTTGAATAAAAAGGCATACCTTGTTGCATAGATTAAAAAAATTCAATTTAACTGAGTAAACTTATTGTATTTAACTGAGTAATTTGTTTAAAATATTTAAAATAAATATTTATTTTGCAAAATTTTACTTTTCTCTTATTATTAATAGTAGAAAAGGTTATGAAAAGATAGGTAACTTAAATATTTATATATTATAGTTATAAATAATAGCCTTTTAAAAAAGATTTTACATAAAAATAGTTTTCATTTGAAAATTAAATTTATAGGCTCGTTTTTAAAGGAATCGTTTTTAAATTTTTGTTTGTTCAAACTTGTATTTCTGCAAATAATTTTATTTTTATAATTTTTGATAATTTTGAATAATTTTATTTGAATTGCTTATTGTTTATAAACCAAGTCCCGGTGAATTAAAAAAAAAGCTAACTTGGGTTTTAATAGTCGTAGGATAGATACTATGTTTTTTTAGAAATCCGTTTAAAAATCCAAAAAAAACGATTACAAAAAAATAACTTCCTATGTGTTATTGCGAGTTATTTTAATTGTTTATAAGCTTAAAATCAGAGTACTTTTGCAAACCTACCTTACAATATTTAACATAAATTTTTTAATCAATAAATGATTTAATTTGGTAAAATAAGGCTTTCTCTACAATCCGGTGAATTTACGTAGACCTCATAGTTTACGCATTATATTGTCCTTATTTCTATATTATTGTTCTTATTCTTACGCAAAATCAAAGTTTATTTGTACATTTTTAGGAAAATTATTGATAATTTCCAAAAAATCTACTTTTGAAGCTGTTTTTGCAATCATTAAACAACAAATTTATAAAAATAACTTAAAGGATTTTTTCTATGCTTTTTCAGTAAAATTGTATCACTTTTCCAAATAATTTAGTGGTCTTCACCTTTAGTATTTAACATCAATTAGCGATCTTAAATTGTTTATATACTGTTTATAAGTTAAAAAGTAAGCTTAATCTTTTGCATCTTTTGTGTATTAGATAATATTATCACCAAATTTATCAAAAGCATTTGAGAGATACCTGTATCAACGAATGTGACAGGAAAAATCCTTAGCTCTCTGGTCTATGTATATAAATGGTTAGTTCATCTGTTTCCGTATTTCTGTATGTTTAACCGGTCAAGTTGACTTCCTTTTAATGGAAAGTTTTGCAGACGTTTCAAGGAGTTTTTTCATATAGGTAAGCTAAAACGTAGGAAAGTAGGTCTGATAACTGAATTAACAAACGGTTGTACTCAAAAATATAAAAAATGTGTATGTATGAAGTCTGCTAGTATTTGTGTACTGCTACATATTATACACATCAAAAATATCAAAGATATCATACATTACTTTAACGGTAGTATCAACGAATGTAGTCGTTGGTATTATTCGATATAAAGATGCGGGTATATTTTTTGTCCTTGATACATATATAGCATTTATGTCGTTACTATCACAAAAACTAACGACTTATACGACAAAAAAGAGGCGTGTTTTTATATTTTATTTATTGCTAACGCTATTCCGATAACTACCTACATGTTTAAAATGTTCATGCTTTTGTTCATTAAAAATATGAAAACATTAAAATTCGTTCCCTTTTGCTACCTACATTCTCACATCTTGTCACATAATAAATTAGCGGGTTATTTCGTACTGCTATACTGC